GGGGGAAATGATGTCATCCTCAGCATAGATGGACATAGGATGGAACATGACACCTCTCTCTGTGATTTCTTGTCCTGGCGCTGACTTCTCAGCGCCTGGGACAAGAGTCAGTCTTCTCCATTCCTGAAGCTCCTGGAGAAGTGTGTGGTGATAGAGTTCCTTCTGAAGGCTCTACTTTTAGACAATGAGGGAAGTCCTGGCCTCTGTTGATTCTCAAATGTCTTCAGCTCAAATAAACATTTGTTGAAGCGTTATAATTCTATACCACTTCGGAACTAGAATCAAACTGATTCCATCCTCCAGATCCCAAACTCATCTGGAGCATTGCAAAGGATGGGTACCAGTAATCTGTTTCTTGAGTTTGTGTGTGACTTCCAGAAAGGCTACTTGCTCCATCAGGAACCGTGGTACACTTAATATATTTAAAATATAACTTACAGTATTTAAAATATAATTCTTCCCAACTGCGGGTTCCAAAGAGGGTAGTAACTCCACAGGAAGAACAACAGAGTCAACTAACCTGGACCCTTGGGGCTCTCAGAGACTGAACCACCAATCAAAGAACATACACGGGCTGGACCTAGGCCTCCCTGCACATACTTAGCAGATGTGCAGCTTGACCATCATGTAGGTCCCGAACGACTGGAGCAGCGGCTATCCCAGAAGCTATTGTCTGCCTGTGGAATGTGTTCTTCTAGCTGGGCAGCCTTGTCTAGCTTCAGTGGGAGAGGAAGTGCCTAGCCTCGAAGAAACTCGATGTGCCAGGGTGGGGGAATACTCAGGGGGCCCCACCCGTTCAGAGGAGAAAGGGAGGCAGGATGGATGGAAGGATTGTGGGAGGGGGTAACCGGGAGGGGGGCAGTGAACAGGATGTAAAGTAAAATAAATAAATAAATAAATAAATAAATAAATAAATAAATAAATAAATAAATAAATAAGACCCTTCCCAAAGACTCACACCTCACCATCTACGTACAAGAAGTCTGGAAGGCTCCTGTAGTTCAGAGAGTCAGAGGAGTGTTATGCTTTAAATCTAGGCTGTACCCGCCATAGATTGCAGTTGGAAACATTTGTTCCCCAGATGATGGCACCACTTTGAAGGTTGTGAAGTCCTCAGCTGGCAGAAATGGTTCACAAGAGCCAAGCCTTCGAAACTTTTCTTATTGTCTAGCCCCCAACGAGTTTCCTACACCCAGACAATCCACCATAAACATTGTTGGGCCTCCCCCGCCACGATGGACTGAAACTCTGAACTAGAACAAACCTTATCCCCATTGTCTCTATCTTGTCTAGTATTTTGGTCCTGAGAGGACTAGGTATACTGAGGGGGAGCGGCTCCTTTACAGGGGTGACCTCAGCGGTGAGACACACAGCTTTGATCTGTCAAGCTCCTCCTGGTCAGGAATATGTATGCAGTGTAGTCACAAGGTGACCTCCATGTACATACCAGGAAGAGCTTGGACATGTGATTCACATATCGCAATGTGCTACCAGTACAATAAAGACCCTCTGGATAAGCGTGCCGTGACAGAAAAGTGCCACATCCAACGTTTGTTAAAGATGATGGACAGTTTTCAAAAAACCACATCCTTCTGCAAATGAAGGAGTTTAGGGCCAGGCAGGTGAGAGGAAACAGGCAAGGGTCACTGGATGCCCACATTCCACTGTGAGGATCCTATCACAAGGCAGAGAATCTGCTGCTCCGAGCATACGGTTCACCCACCTTTGCATATATTTACCAAGAAGAAAATTTAAATCTGTCTCTAGGTTACTGAGTGAAATTTTGATTGTCTCCTGCTTGTGTGGACTGTCCCTCCTTTTCAGTCATGTACATGAACTATTGATTTTGCCAAGCCTAGACTGTTGAGAAATTTGTGACCTTCAGGTCAGGACTCACTCAAAAATAGGGAGAGTCAATCAACACAGTCAGGACCCAAATAAAGTGAGCATCAGCCTCTAGGGAGAAAGAACACTACCACATACATTCCTGACAAAGACAGTGGAAAGTATGCACCAAAAATAAATCTCTTTTTGGTAAAGTTTTGTAGAGTCTCCTGTCTTTTATCCACCATGATTTTGATGTCATTCTGTGATAACTCTTGATTTAAAGACTGGCCTTCGCACTTAGTTAATATTATATATTCCACATTGTGAAATAAGTTACACAACAGAGAAATGGCCTGTTAAAACAACAGTTGCTCCCTTCGTAAAAGATAACAAATCTGAGTATCAAGAGTTGGTCAATATATAAATAGAGGCTCATAACAGCTTTTATAAGTATTGAAATGTCCATTTCATTTATTCAAGCAGTCAATACAGAGTTATCAAAGCCTTTTGTGTCGTGAGCATCATGCTAGTGGGGTACATTGGTAAACAACACCCATCAAGAGGAAAGAGACTGGGTTACCTTAGGGAAAGAGGAGAGGGATTCCTTGGGTTGGTGTTTTAATTCGTTGAGAGTGGGCTTTGATAATCAAGAAGGACCTAGCTGAGGCTGTCCGTGACATTTAAACTGAAACCTGAAACAGTTAACCTGGATGAGCAAAACCAGTTGTGAAAAGTTCCAAGAGCAGCCTGCAGAAGCAAATCTGAAGTGGCTGGGCAGTGAAAACAGGAAGCATCACCAGCGTGATGCAGAGGAAAAAGCAAAAGCGTAGACAGACAGACAGACAGACAGACAGACAGACAGCTTTTGCAGGGTGGCGGCAGGTGAGAATTCTGAAATGGAGTTAATGGGGCTTGGAAGTAATTTGCTATAATAAGAATGGGATTGAGAGAGAGATGGGATTTTCTAGTACTCTTACATCTTTTTTTGTTCTATTTCCTTTGGGGCATTTATCATAATTGAAACAATTTAAGCTGTTACATTGTTAAATTTATTTATCACTCTATCACTCTACAACACTAGTGTTGGTCAATATGAAAGCAAGACAAGCTTATATTTATACATTTAAATATGCTAATCGTCACATTAAAAGGGAAAAAATAGGAGAATTTAAAGGTGAATTGTATGCTGGCAGTAAATCTCAGCCTGACCACACATCAATCCCTAACCACCTATGGCTGGTGCCTGTCTCCTGACCAGAGCATGGCCAGAACCTGTAAATTCCTGGGCGGGAGAGTGCCTCTGGGGATAGGGAACCTGCTGAGGGAAGTGAAGAGCATGAGAGGGTAGGGCTAATCCATCTGGTTCACTGTCTTATCTCTAGGACATCATTCCTAGTAGAGGGTGAGCACCTGCTACAAAGTGAATGAGCCAATAAGCGCCTAGTAAAGGAAGTAAAGGAAGACAATCTAAAGCAATGGTTTGGGAGTCAAAAGAAGCCTGGGAGAGGTAAATCAAAGCTTTAACTTTGAACCAGCTGAGACTCAGGTGTCTAGGAAACACCTAAATGAAGACATCAGGAGAGGAAGTGGGTGAGCCTGGGACTGAGAGGAAAGGTTGGGGAGGGCAGGCAGGGAGATGTAAACTCGGTGTTTTGCTGACATTAAAACCCAAGAGAATCACTGGATCTCTGAGAAAGAATGCAAAGCAACTGAAGAGGAAAGAGTTTGGGATTCTCCTTCTGAGGCACCAAGTTATGGCTTCATTTAAGATTTATTTGGGCCGGGCAGTGGTGGCACATGCCTTTAATCCCAGCACTTGGGAGGCAGAGGCAGGCGGATTTCTGAGTTCGAGGCCAGCCTGGTCTACAGAGTGAGTTCCAGGACAGCCAGGGCTACACAGAGAAACCCTGTCTCGAAAAAGAAAAAAAAAAAAAGATTTATTTGCATTATACTTTAAAGCCCAGAGAGATGATTTTTAATACCAAGAAATATGATCTCCAGATAGGAAGAAGCCCATTTGGCTTATGGATGAACTGGATCTAGAACCCAAAACTCTCAGCGATTGTGTAAAGACTATGCTTTAAAGTGTGGAGACTAGCAAGGAACATGGAAAGAAGGCAACCATTCATGATTTCTTGCAGGGGAACTCGGATGTGCCTACAGTTGGCAACATAGTTCAGAAAGAGGCCAGATTCCAGGTGGGATTTCATCCAATACCCTGGTGTTCTTTGCCCTTCCTTTGTGATATAGGACTCCATTTCTCCACATATCTTGGAAAATAAAAAGTTTTAGAAGTATCTTAGCATAAAATAACATATTTATCCAAATATTTTTTAGATGGGTTGATACAAACAGGGCTTTCTCTGCTGAACTTCCAAAACACAGATTGAACTGAAATCGTAGATTCTGCCTGAATAGCTGTGTGACCTTGACTGAGATTGTTCTTTCCCTAGTGACTCTCAGTTCTTATCAGCAGAACCTGCAAGGTGACCCTCTGGCTCTGAAAGTAATGTATAACTCAATAGTTATCATGAAATAAGGTCTAAGCCATTTCTGTATTCAACTTCAAATTCTAAGGGAAAGCCATCCTACAGGAGGTTTACACACACACACACACACACACACACACACACACACACACACAGGAGTTCCATGTTTGCTAACTGGGAAACAAGAAATAGCCTGCCTTATTTTTCTCTTGGCTTGCTTTAGAGATTAGAGGTGTCTACCTAGGACTGTTAAGAGTAGATGTTTGGAATACCAGATCTACCACTCCCCATCTGAGACACACACAGGTTGAATCTCTGTCCTGTGACGTGGGTGTATATGGCTTTTTGCTTGTATGCAGTAAATGGCAGGTTTTGATTTACAAGATGGTATAGAAACGCAGTGAAAAGAAAGGAGAAAGTGGGAAGGAAGGAATTTACAGGGAGGGGAAGCAAGGCAGAACCCAGGCAAAGTTAAGAAAGGCAAGTTAAATGCAATAAGATGGGGGGGGCAGAGGACATCTGCAGAAGGGACAAGAGCCAGTCAGACTGGGGGCGGAGGTGGCCTGGCTGCTGACTTGCTAAGCAGGCACCAGGTGGAGGAGGGGAGCAGGAGGGAGGGACTTGGCGAAGGGCAAAGTCAGGCTACACTTAAAAAGGGAATGACCCTAGGTGGTTAATGCCACCAGTGACCTCCGATACCCAGGGCAGGAGGCATCAGGTGGGGAAAAATTCCTTTGTGCCGTCCCAGGCTACAGAGGGAAGAACACTCATTGACTTGAAGGGTGCAACCATCATGTGCGAACTCTATAGCAAGCAGGACACCCTGGCGCTGCGGGAGAAGCACATCGGGTAAGTGCAAGTTGCTGGCAGAAAGGGGCGGAGGGCAAACAGCTGGAGCTGGGTGGGAGAGAGGAAGCACCACACACGCGGGTCTGGAAGCCGCTGCCTGTAGCCAACAGGGCTTCTGCAGCTCCAGCTCCCTCCCGGGAGCCAGAGCAGCAGGTGGCTGGAGGAGATGGCTCTCAGTGTCCTGGAAGAGGGTATCCAGCCAAGAGAAATAAGCACTGGGAGCAAGATGGAGAGCTTGCCTCTATGCCCATCAGAACCAGCCGAACCTAGAAATCATTTGATTGATTTCTCCTAAAACGAACTCATTCTGACAACTTTTATTTTAAGTGAACTTTTTCCCTGTATGTTTGGTGAGGCGACAGAGGGTTTCGGTAGCTAATGGAAAAACTTAAATCACCTATATAAAAAAACAGGGCTTTCAGGGAGCGCTTCACAGCTTCCGGTCTCCCAAGCTGTGTCCTCATGATTTGCGTTCTCCTGGAGTTTGTTTTCTCTGTGTTTATGCTTTAGTAGTATAACAGTGTGTATAAAAGAGTGACCTGAACTCTACTCCTGGTTAGGTATCATGTTATCTGTGTCACGCCTGCCAAATCATATTAATGACATCCTAGGAGCAAATGAGAATGAGTGAGTTAACATTTTGTGTCTGGGTTTTTAAAAGACAAAACAAACATCATAGGAAAGATGCCCCAACCCATAGAAGCGCTGTCTACAGTGTGTGTGTATACTTGGGCTGCCAAGGAATAGACAGACCCGATCCATCGTGTGTGTGTGTGTGTGTGTGTGTGTGTGTGTGTGTGTGTGTGTGTACCTGGTGAAGCAAAAGGATATTCAGACAGAGGCAATAGGGGAAGAAGCAGTGAACTCCAGGAGAAAGGCTAATCAGGTTCCAGTACTGAAGTTCCTCATTTCCAGCAGAAAGGCTCTTGAAAGTTGATTTAAAAAAAAAAAAAAACCAAGACCTCTTTCACAATGATCCTAATTCCTCCTTCATTCACTGATTGCCTCCTTTCCTAACTAGATTCCTTCAGAAACATGATTTCTGAGGGGAAAATGGCAAAGTTTGTGAAAGAATGTACCATGGACTGTTGGATGGACTAAGCTAGAATTTTCCATACAGTCTGATGGCCACACGGAGGTAAGCTTAAAAGGCAAGGGTAGCTCTGCAGCCTGTCAGTCAGACTCAAGGCTCTTCGGGTGGCTCTTGTAGCTACAAACTAACTGTTGTGGTTCAGCCAACAAGATGTTCTCATATATATTCTTTTTTTAATTTTAGCTGATACTTTAAAAGAAAACACTACATAAGCTAGGAAGTGGGTATAGTTATACCTCTCTGGCGGACTGCTTGTCTAACGAGTCGTGGAGTTCAGTCCTCAATTCTACACATAAAACTCCATCAACCTATACCACAGCCATGTGCCACTTTAAAATTCGAGGTTGCCCACTACTCCCAATAATCAAAAAATTTTCTCAATAGTTGCATATCACCTTAATCAATAAATATTACAAAATCTCCACAAACCCCTAGAGCAGTGGTTCTCAAATTTCCTAAGGCCAAACCTTTTAATATGGTTCTTTATGTTGTAGTGATCCCCAATTATAAAATTATTTTATGGCTACTTCATAACTGCAATTTTGTTGCGACCCTCAGGTTGAGAACACTGTTCTAGAATGTATACAGAGTTCTTTACATAGGCAAACACACCAAAATAAAAACATAATTTTAGCCAAGCAGTTATGGTGCATGCCTTTAATCCTTTAATCCTTTAATCCCAGTATTTGGAGCAGAGGTAGGCAGATCTCTGTGAATTTGAGGACAGCCTGGTCTACAGAGCAAGTTCTAGGACAGCCAGGGCTACATAAAAACCCAGTCTTAATAAACCGAAAAAAAAAATCATGTAGTTTTAGTTTTAGGTGTTAAAAGTCCATTGAGCCAAGATTAGAAACTTCAGTAATATTTGTAGGTTCCTAATTTTTATGCCAAAATGTTAAAAATAACAGGAACTCATTTTGCTCACAGCAGCATTCCAAAACAAATTAATTTAAATATTTAAGGTGGGAAGCCATTTATTTGATACAGGGCAAGAGATACTCAAAATACATGAAAATCCCCTTTGGAACACAACTCTAAGTTGTTTATAGTTACCTATTAATTTTCTTATAAAGTAATTTGGAAAGAGAGAGAAGGAGGAACTGGTTATAGGTATTACATGAGATAGCATTTATTAAGGTATATAGCAGCTTCTGACATAACAGAAAGCCTCTATCAGGGGCAGGGGGTGGCCATTTTTATTCCAGTAGAATAAAATTTCCCAAAGGAAAAAATGAGTCTTTTTTTTTAATTTATTTATTTATTTTATTATGAGTTCACTGTAGCTGTCTTCGGACACACCAGAAGAGGGCATCCAATCTCCTTATGGATGGTTGTGAGCTACCATGTGGTTGCTGGGATTTGAACTCAGGACCTCTGGAAGAGCAGTCCGTGCTCTTAACCACTGAGCCATCTCTCCAGCCCGAAAAAATGAGCCTTAAGTAAGCTGATTCATGAGACTCTAGCATAGAAATTGTGACCAGTGACACCCACGGTGGATTAGAATGAAGGATTCCAAGCTAATATAAAATGAAAAAATAATGTGGTCACATGGCCTATGTTTTCCTCTTTCCTTATGTAACTGTAATTTTCCACAGTTGACCTCCACTGAGAAGGAAAAATACTGCGTACTAAAAGTATTTCCTTTGCCTATTTCTAGGCCCTCGTGCAAGATTTTCTTTGCAGCGGATCCCATCAAAATAATGCGAGCCCGGGGGCAGTACATGTTTGATGAGAAAGGCGAACGGTACTTAGACTGCATCAACAACGTAGCACACGGTAAGCATCCTGTGCACAGCGCATTGAAGGAAATTATTGCGGAACCTGGTTCATCTTGGAAATTTCGTGACAAACGTCCTTTTCCTCTACTGAGTCACCCTAAAAGGGAAAGGCTTCAGTAAAACAAGGGGAGCAAGGAGCCCAAATCCTCTTTCCCTTCAGAATTTCCCTCTTCTCCAAAGTCGTTAGACTTGTAACTTATACCTTTAACTCCTACATTTTAGTGGGGCACTGTCACCCAGAAGTGGTTAAAGCCGCCGCAAAACAGATGGAATTACTAAATACAAATTCTCGATTCCTCCATGACAACATCATTGAGTTTGCCAAGCGCCTTACAGCCACCCTGCCTCAGAAGCTCTCGGTTTGCTACTTCACCAACTCAGGGTACGTGTCTAGTTTCTGGCATTCCCACGGCCCCCTTCATTGGCGCACCTTTTCTGTTGGATACATCTAGAAAGATGTAAGGAAGTTCTTGCCACTCACTAAATGACCTTCGTTAGAAGTGGACCTTTCTGAATCTTTTACTTTCATTCATTACTCTGAACCTAATGGGATCCAGTGACATCATCTTGTCACAATGTAAAATGTGTCATGAAAACAGGGAGCCCACGTAGTCATTAAATGCAGATTTCAGCAAATAAATGACCCCACTAAAGAAGCTGTAATTTCATAAGATTTTTGACTGACTTGCTGTTTTACAAAAACCTGGGCATATTTTTCCAATGCAAACACAAGAAAATCCAAGTGAAGATACATTCCAACCTTTAAATTCTGTAAGCACAAATGGCGATGTCTCCATTCTGTGGACAACTATGCAGATATCGAAGGTGTGATTTGCAAATGCATGCCCAAGAACGTGTGAAGCTGAAAGTGTAATGTTCTGTTTGGGGGAAGCTGTAGGCAGCTTTCCTATTTTTAAAGTGATACATGGTTTTGGATTTGATATCTATAAAGCTATAATGTCTTGTTATGATTTCCTGCATCTCTCTTTTCCAATCAGTATCTTGTAACAAGAGCATTATTATTTTGTTTTGTAATGAACTGAAGAGGTATTTAAGGGTCCCCTGTGTTGTTACAAATCATTCTTGCCTTGTATAAGTGGAATATAATATCTAACTTTTATTTCTAGAGAATCCTATACTACCAGAGAGGGATGAATTCCAAGCAGCCTTGTCCTTTAGAGAACGTATGTGATGCTGCATGCCTATTGTAAAAAATAATAGTGTCAAAGTCATACAGATATCTTGTCTAAATCCTGGCTAGTCCTCTGATTGATAAGAAATGGCGTTCTGCTTTATTTGACCTCTCGGAGGCTGTTGCCTCGCTCTTAGGATAGGAGGTGGCAATATTCCCTTGCAGTGTTTTCATAAGAATCAGTAGAAGCAAACACACTGCCATGAGCATCCTTTGAGTGACTGTTTCCTTTCTCCACTTAAGGAGAGTTTATTTAGACTCTCTGAACTAGAAAAACATATGATCTCAATCTTACAGATAAGGAAACTAATGAAGCACTGACTCAATGCACTATGGTTTGGCCTCCAGGCTGGAGGGTGGTCCATCCCTCCTGAGATAGGGCTTACGATGAGATTCTTAGTGTGCTGAGAGCTAGTCATCCCTGGTGCAGCTGGGCCAAGTGAGAAGCATAGCTGCCATTCTTTGGATTTCTTCTATGCATCTTATTCTTTTATGGCTGTGACACGTGTGTTACAAAGTTACAGGGAGAACTTAGCCGAGCAGGATGGAGTGGGAAAGAAGGCTTCCATTCCACATTATGACATTATTTCTGAATAAATGACAGCTTACAATTTCTGTAACTAACACTGAGCCATTAAAAAAAAAATAGGTTATCACTTTGTCCCCTCTCTGTGTTATCTCAATAGATCTGAAGCCAACGACTTAGCCTTACGCCTGGCACGGCAGTTCCGAGGCCACCAGGATGTGATCACTCTTGACCAGTAAGTCCTAGGCAGGCTTCTAAGGAAGAAGCGCCATCAGAGCCAGAAGTGTACTAATCTATACCAAACTCATCTGTACTAAGACCACAGGCACTTATGGAGGAGGGTGGATACCTGGAACAGTGTTTTGAAATTACACAATAAGGTGTTGAGTCTAGCTTGAATCCTCTCTTTCTAGGCTAATTCACTCTTTCTAAGCAGACTGAAAATGGGGCAACTTTCCTGAGTGTCTTGATGACAGCAGCCTTATAGAACTGATGAGAATCTGGACTGACATTTTACTTGGTAACTAACTACACATTGCACCTAGTGCTACCTCTCTGTAACTCAAATGTTTCCAAAATAAAAACATAATTAATTTCTTTAAAATCCAAACATTTGCTTCAATATCATGATTATCTACTGTACTCAATATTAAACATATCAATTTATAGCAAATTTAAAACTTTAGTTCTTTTTCATTTGATCACAACTACTAATGGTCACATTGACTCTTACTTCCCAAACTTGAATTTATTGATTTTAAATGAAAAACATGACATCGATATTTACTAATGCTTTTTAAATTATCTGGTTTACTCCCTCACCCCATAAACCCAGATAGTGAAACTAAAAACGTGACCTTACTTTGTGCCCTCCTATAGACCCCCCTTAACGCGATTTCTCATTTTCTGTTGCTGCTTCATTTGTTACAGTACGCTTATGGGTTCAAATCAATACAAAACTATTGCCATAGATTTCATCAGAAAGCTAAAATAACTCACTGAGCTAAAATCAGGGTTATCTGTGGGGAACTCTTGGCTCTTCCGGGTTATATGTCTGCATCTCATGACCGACAGTGCCAGGCATTATTTTCAGTCAGCCATTACCTCACCAAGCCTTTGCTGCTCTCCTCACACCCCTATCTTTGATCATCACGCTCCTGTCTCCTGTTTCACTTATAAGACATTTCTGACCGTATTGGATCTACCCAAGTAATCCGGAATTAATCCCCTCATTTAGTGGCCCTTAATTTATTCTCCCTGAAAATCATCTTTGATATGAAATATTAGGAGGTAAACACACTTGGGTTGAGGCATTTGTTTTTTTAAATTCTCATTCTCTATCACTTATGGACACCTATAATAATGTATTTACTATATATTTTATAGCCCTATGGCCAATTTAATAATATATTTATTGTATTTATTTTATGCTATTTGAAATGTTTTATTTGTATATATTAATTGTATATGACAATTTATTTTACTATGACATTTTCATACATATTCATAATATTTTCTGATCATACTTACCGCTGTTCCACTCTCCCTCCCACTTCTGCTAATCCTTCTCTTCCTTCCAACTAACCCTGTGCTGACTTTCACATCGTTTTACTTTTTGTATCATGTAAAATGTGCGGTATCTTATGTGCCTCTTGCTTTGCCAACGTTACTGTAGATCTCTTTGTTTTCATATTTCATCCCACATAGAATTCTTGACATTTGTCCCATTCCTCTAATTCACTTCTGACCAATAGAAACATAATGTGAGACACATATGGGATTTTAAATGTTCTAGTAGTTTGGGGTAGCTTGTGGGTGTGTTGTCATTTCAATAGTCAACATGAGGTATGTTGACATATCTTGCATTCCTTTTTAACTCACTGAGTATCAGAAGTCCAGTGTCTGCTTGGACATTGTCAGATCAGACTACAGATGTTCAAGTGCCCATAGCTCTGAGTAGGGAATTGCTGCCATTTTGGATTACAATATTGTTCTCACTGTACAGCATCCCTTCCCCACAGCAATGGGCACTGATTACATCACTCTTGCACAAGCAGAGATCCTTCTACATGCTCTTCCATAGGACATTCTGAGAATGCCTCGGGGATAAATTCCACAAATAAGACAGCTGGGCAGCGAGGTGCTGCTAATTTAATTAAATTTTGTCATATTTGTCTCCAGTGTGATTGTGACACCAGACACACAGAAAAGGCCTGCTCTCCCTAGCCTAACCAAACTCAATGCTAACCAGCTTTCTGCTTTTTCCTAATTGCTGTTAATCTATTTGGTATAACACGTCTTGATTTGTATTGTTCAATTGGCAATGTTGATTTGAGAATCTTCTCACATAAATTTTATGCTTTCATCATCTCTTGGGAGCACGCTTTTCATATTCTTTATCATTTTTTCAGTTGGGATTCTCATCCTTCTGTTGCTGATTTGTGGTTTACTGTACAACCTAGGCCAGAGAAGGTCTATTTGGAGTCATCTGTGAATGGCTCTTTTAGACTTTTCTCTCTACATCTGCTGATTACACTTCTGGGCAAGAAACAGAAAGAGGAATATCTTCACCATTTGTATGTTAAGTGAAAGAGAGGAATTTTGCTACTACTCAGTCATCTCTCAGTCTGAGTTTTTCTTCCGTAATCGCTCAGTATTTCCCTAATGTCTCCAACCAAGCATCCTCTAGATAGCACTCCAATCAGAAACCCATGTCTGTCTAGAAAATTGTGTTTCAGACTTACTAACCAGGCAGGGTGACACATGCCCATAGTCCCAGCTGAGGCCCAGAAGAATCACTTGAGGCCAGACAGAACAGTCTGTGAGGTCTATTTTTAAAAACTTTGGCTAGTAAGATGACTCAGCAGATACTTGCCAAGCCTGATAGCCTGAGTCTGATGCCCTGGATCCAGTAAATTAATTAATTAATTAATTAGACAATATAGAAAACTCAGCGCACAAGATTACATGAAGGTATAAAATATCCACATTTAGAGAATCTAATTTAGCAATATAATTCAAAGAAGTGATGTTTGTTTTTCCTACTGTAATAAAAACAATTGCTGTTTTTCCTACTGTAATAAAAACAATCGCCCATGAGGAAGTATACCAGACTTTCCAAGTACATCCTTATATGTATGGGGGACAATAGACAAATCAAATGCCAGTACTGTCATGAAGACTAGACCTAGTTTTGCAGTTAAATGTGGCACTGGTATTGAACTTTCCCCAGATGACTGACGCTGAGTGATAGGCAACACTATGTTCCCATACTACAAAAAAGCCTTTCCTGGAACTCTTTGTGTGACTTTTCTTTTTCATTTCAGTGCTTACCATGGTCACCTGTCGTCATTAATTGAGATCAGTCCGTATAAGTTTCAGAAGGGCAAAGATGTCAAGAGGGAATCTGTACATGTGGTAAATATCCCTGAGTCCCACAGTCAGGATAATGGGGCTAGAAAACCATCTATTCCCATCCACCTCAACCTTTCCATGCAGAGTGGAACCATGGGAAAGAAACTAAGATTGAGAGCAGTCGTGGGAAGTGCTAAACTTCAGGGGGCCACAGACTGGCTGCATGTGGCTCAGAGTGAGAATCAAGGGAGGAGAGTTCAGTGGTAGAACTGGTAGATCAGACTTTTAACAGCTGTCGTCAGCTCTTGTGTCCACTCGTCTTCAGCCACTCTTCCAATCACTAGTATGAGGCCAACACTCAGAGCTAGATGAGCTTGTCTGGCTGTTATAAATACAATTTACGTAAAGCATAGTTACGGAAACAATGCAAATTGTGAAAAAGGTACATTGCATCAAACAGAGAGGCCAGCCAATTTGTCGAAACGGTGAAACTCATTTCATATCACTGTGTTAACTGAGGGTCAGTAAGCATCTGCACTGCTTTGTTGCAAGACTTTAAGCACTAAGAACTTTGAGCTTCCTAAGTGATCATTGTTTATGATATAATCAACAGTGTGAATTTCTTTTCCATATAGTCATTAGTTTCAGTCTCCACTTTGTGTTAGTTTTATATAATGTAATTGCACTTGCCTGTCTGAATTTGCTTCCTATGTGAATATGGATAAAGCTTTGATTTACAAGGGCTGGCATTTCTAAGTTCCAGTTCACAATTCAGAGGTCAGTTCTTCACAGCATTCAGAGATGAACAGAAAGATAAAGACACTGGGGGTGTTTGGGTCCTCAGGACCACCCTCCAACATACACTGGTGGGGAACTAGATGGTCCTTTGGTCTTTATGTTTGGTCAAGATGTGAATAACAAGAATCTGTATTATCTGATATTTTAGGCACCAGCTCCAGATACTTACAGAGGGAAATACAGAGAGGACCACGAAGACCCATCCACTGCATATGCAGATGAGGTGAAGAAAATCATTGAAGAGGCTCAGAGCAGCGGAAGAAAGGTTGGCATCATGGGAAACACTTTTTAAAAGTCTTTTATGGAGATGGTTACAACAGCTGGAGTTCTCTACAGAGAAGAAAAAGGATTAAATCTAAAATGCCTCTGTTCTTGGCTGGTTACATTTTCACTTGGTTTTTGTTTCGAAAGTTCTTTGTCATAGCAAACTTTTATTTATCATAGAAATATAATTACTACACTTCTCCAGTGCTGACAGCTTAATGCTGAACTCTAGGGTACTATACAGGGTCTGGTCCGGAGGGTCGGATTCTTCCAACTTTGAGGATCAAGGGGGAGGCGAAGAGAGGCTCCAGTGTCAGGACTTGTCCAAGCTCTAAGATCCTTAGGGGAGCGTGGTGCTGCCAGGAGCTAGTGGGCCTCCAGGAATCACAGAACTGAGGCTCGGCTTCTCACTCAGCCAGGGCAGAAGCACAGCCTTTCCACCTAGGCCTGGGCTTCCAGGATGGCACCAGAGTCCTTGAGAACAGGAAAGGGGTTGATGTTTTCAGTCTTCACCCTACTGTCCTCAGATTTGTGTTCACTCCTCATTCATCATGGGGTTACCTAGGTGCAGATTAAATGTAACTTGACAGCACTTGGCCTTCAAACTAGCTTACGGCACAGACATGACAATACGAATACTTTGTTTAAAACAATTTGCCTTTTCCAGTGAATTGCGATATTTTTTATCTTCATGACAGAAGCACCATTCTTCTTTCTGGGGTGTCTCTCCCACCCACAGCCCTACCTCCACACCCAACCCCACCCCTGTTTTGCTTCCATGCCCTCTGTAACATCTCTGGGCAGGTGAACCTGAAGCTCTACCTGCCAAAAGAGCTTCAGAGTTTCAGATGGTAAATAATGTTTTCAGAAAATATGTTTAACCTAACAAGATCATAGGAACCCTGCTGCTAACAGAGGGTCCAAGTGGGTTTTTTTTTAATAATTAACATTTTGGGGGTTGATACAACCAAGTTACCAATGCTGAAAGCTATGACAAAGTAAATACAGGGCATGTGCTTTTAAATGTCAGCTGTGCTTACACAGTCATGGATGGTTAGAACAGAAATCTCTGGGGTCCAGCAGCCCAATTTTATAGCTAAAACCCTAAATAACTATGAGGTAAAGAACTTGACCCAGGTTAATGCTGCTAGGAAGGAGTCTGGATGCAGGCTTGAGTCTCTAGATCTCTTTTCTCGTGCCTTTCTTGAGCTTTCCCTTCTTCCATCAGCATCTGCTCTTTTGAGCACCCCCTCCCATAGCCTGTAACATGCTTCCCCTGTAGTTACTGTTGAGATGCCTGGCTTCTGAGGGAAGCTTACTGTAACAGCAATGCAGCCCCTCATGTGTAGCCACAGGCTGCCCATCCACATCCTTGGTGTTGACTCTGGCCTCAAGCAGTTCGGTTTGACTAACTTGGGAATGGGCACCAAGGTTATGCCTTTTGAACCTAGATCAGTTTCCAAAGGTTCATACCACAGACATCCATATATTAGTTTGACTCAGACACAACTTGACAAAAAAATATTGCCCTCTCGTGATCTCCATCTCCTTTGGTGGCTTTACTGGTGTCCTAGGACATCATTTAGACGGGTGTTCTTCTGTCACACATAGCTTTTATTTATAATTGATAGTCTATTTAGCACTTACCATGGGTGTATTTCTAGCCATTTTAAACCCTAAGGGCTGGAAAGATGGCTCAGCAGTCAAGAATATAATACTGCTCTTTCAGGGGACAAGAGTTTGGTTTCCAGCACCAATGGCTGCTGGCTCCCAACCACTTATAACTCCAGCTCCAGGGGATTCATGCTCTCTGGCCTCCTTGAACACCAGCACATATGCATACAAACATACAGAGGCAGACATGCACACTCATGAAATTAAAAATAAAGATGTGTCCTTTTAAATCTTCTTTAAAATAGCATGCTCTTTATGCTGGAGATATGGCTTAGCTGTTAAGAGCACAGATTCTCTCAAGGTTTAGTTCCCAGCACCTACATGACTGCTAAGAACTATATGTAAGTCCAGTTGCAGAGGACCCAATGCCCTCTTCTGCCTCCCTGAATACTGCATATACTGGCGCACAGACGTATGTGCAGGCAAAACACCCAAACATATTAAATAAAAATAAATCTTTAAAATAAAAAGATTTTAAAGATCCTACCTGCTGTGTAGGATGTTCTCCTCTTTTAGGGGTATGAGGGGAGCCTATTGTGTATAGATTTTTGACCCCATCTTTTCTTGTATAGATTGCTGCCTTTATTGCTGAATCCATGCAGAGTTGTGGTGGACAAATTATTCCTCCAGCAGGCTACTTCCAGAAAGTGGCTGAGTATGTACTTGACTTGGGCATCCTTGGTCAAACTGAGGGCACATTAAGGTCCATTCTTCCAGGCTAGCTGGTAAAAATCTGCTCCTGACTACTTGCTACTTCAGGACTCTAGGATACCCCCTGGTCTTTCCAGAGATACAAAAGAATAAAGAATTTAACATGGTCCAACCTCTAGAACTATGCTCCAACTCCTGATGGGCATCCTGTCTCATTGGCTCATCCCTACACCTTGCCAATTAGTAAATATGTGAAGATCAATTAACCTTAGTAAGATCTACTTGCCCAGCTTTCTTCCCAAGTGAAACGTTGCAATGCAGTGTACTCTAAGCAGCATATGGGGTAGATCTCATCTAGAAACAATGTGACTACCCTGTAACATCTCTACAAGGTTTTGAGTCCTAGAATATTTTTAACACAGACAGATGCTTCAGGTTAACATTTTTCTGACTTCACTAGTCTTTTCGGGTAGTTCTGGGGACACTCAGTGGTCTGGGGGCATCAATGTACATTGTTACTTTTCAGACACGTTCACAAAGCAGGGGCTGTGTTCATTGCTGACGAAGTTCAAGTAGGCTTTGGCAGAGTTGGGAGACATTTCTGGAGCTTCCAGATGTATGGTGAAGATTTCGTTCCAGACATCGTCACCATGGGGAAACCTATGGGCAACGGTCACCCGATATCTTGTGTGGTGACAACCAAAGAAATTGCAGAAGCTTTCAGCAGTGCAGGCATGGAATATTTCAATACGGTAAATTTTGGTTCACAGTTTTAATTCTAAGGGGAAAATAATGCATGTTCTCAGACTTTTTTCCAACATAGGAAAGAAAAGTATTAGCAGTAAACCACTCTAATATTCTTGTCAAACTTCGGTTAAACCAGACTTAATTCTCTTTGTGTTTTTTCCTTCTGCTTTCCTTCTTCCCAAAATAGTCTTGCTAGGTTTTCTAATAATAGACAGCTATTCTACTAATCTTTAGTGCTTATTTCATTAACAGACAATGTGATCTTATTTGTTTTAAATCGTATTGAAACTTCCCAAACAATTTTAAAGCATTTAGAGGATTTGGTACCATGAATATTAGTGAACTCTCATAGCAGACACTAAATGTTGATCTTTGGAAAGTTTTATTTCTTTGGCTTTATCCCCCAAAGTAATAAGTGTTAGGCTTAGAAGAGTCACCATAGTGTGCACAGCAGCAGGGCTGTTACCGACAAAAGCAAAAGAAGGTTGTTTTTTTTTTTTTTTCAGAGAAACTATTGCTTAGCTATTTTCAGTCAGCTCTGTAAGGACAGAAAGCTCTAATTTCCCTTACTGAACCACACTTCTGGATCTTTAATTTACAATATAATACTTTGTTACTGTTTGGATGAATCAATAAGTTTCTTATAATCCCTCATACCAGTTATACAACCTGAAGAATACAACCAGGAGTGAATTTTCACTGAATCCTAATAAATAAAATCATCTGTCTTCTAAGTCTAAAGGATTTATATTACAAAAAAGTTCAGTTAAAATTATAGTTTTGCATATATGTTAACCATGTGTGTCTTTGACAATGTATACCTTGGTGGGGACTGCTGAAGGCTTAAAGTATGTTTTTGTTTTTCAGACATACGCTGAGTGCCAAATTCCTCATGAATGAAGCAATACCACTAATTCTGTTGTTGCTTTCCCGTCTTTGTCTGTAGTATGGAGGAAATCCAGTGTCTTGTGCAGTTGGCTTGGCTGTGCTGGATGTAATTGAAAAGGAAAACCTTCAAGGAAATGCTGTCAGAGTGGGGGATTATCTCATAGAGTTACTGAACGAACAGAAGGCTAAGCATCCTTTGATAGGGGACGTCAGGTGTGTTGACCAAGTCTCACAGACTCATTTGTTTTCCACAGCTGAATAGCTTATATTTTACCTTGCAAAGTTTAACTAAAATATATAAAACACTAAGAAACAGAGAGAGCAAAGATCACTGTTAACCAAAGACTAAGGAACCACCCTGGAAACATTTGTGTACGTATGTTCAGTCACACTTATAGGTTTTCTTTTTCTGTAGTTAAGATGATTTTAAGTCCAAGAGATGGGAGGAAGGAAGGAAGGAAGGAAGGAAGGAAGGAAGGAAGGAAGGAAGGAAGGA